ATATTCATACTGGGTGTGGTGGTGTATGCCTACTTGGGAGGTGGAGTTCAGGGCAGCCTAGACAAAAAATTAGTGAGACCCCCCCGTCTCAACCAATAAAAAGGTGGGCCTGGTGGTACACAACTGTAATCCCACCTACTGAGAGGCACAGGTAGAAGGATCAAAGTCCAAGGCTGGCCCCAGTCAAAAATTCAAGACCCTATCCAAAAAAATAACTAAAGCAAAAAAAGGCTAAGGCTTTGGTTCAGGGGGTAGATTACCTGCCTAGCAAGCATGTGGACCTGAGTTCAAACCCCACTACTGTTTCCCACTCCTTCAAAAAAAAAGATGTAAAAGCAAATTTAGTACAATAGAAGGTAACTATCTTACCAATCATGTCCAATGTAGTTATATTTCAAATTCATAAGCCCTATGGAAGCAGCTTTTGGAAATGAGAGGTAAACTGCCTCATGGACAGTGTCTTTAAGAACAGAAGTCACATTGACTGTCATGTGGCCTGGCAAAATATGCTAGTTATAAATAAACTTGGGGCTGGAATTCCTGGTCTCTGGGAATCATAGAGGTGCTTCAGGGAGTTGATATTATTCAAGGTGGTAATAATCCCACTTTCTGCATCTTTCTTTGCCTTCTCCTCCTCCTCTCCCTCCTCCCCCCACCTCCTTCTCCTTCCCCTTAGACAAGATCTCTCTATGTACCCTAGTCTGGCTTTAGCCTCCTAAGTGCAGCACCACACCCAGCTTGTTGGTTTCTTTTCTTTTCTTTTTTTCCTTCTTTCTTTTTCTGTTATCTTTATTTAGTAAGATCTTCACTTTCTATTTACTTATTCATTTGCTGTACTATTTTCTTGAGTTTTTGAAACAGTTCTTGCTGTTCAATGCTTGAACTCGTGATCCTCCTGCCTCAGCTCCAGAGTGCTGGAATAACAGGCATACACCACCACAAAGATCTTACTTTAGATTTATTTGCTTCTCTTTTCCTAGTTTCCTGAAGTAGAAACTTAGATCAATATTAGATTTTTCTTCTTTTTTTTTAAATTAGTGTTTATTAACACTGTGACCAAAGATTGAAGTTCTCCACAGGATGTCACCGTCACTCAACAGTGCTATTTTTTTCTTGAGGAGACATAAAATTGTCAATGTGGGAATGTAAATATCTCAAAGTTAAAAAAATTTGTTCCTAATAATTGTACATATTTATGGGTCACATACATATATATAGTGTGTACTTATCAAATCCAGGCAACTGGCATTTCCATCTACTTATGTCTTTATGTTAGGAGCCTTTGAGCTTCTCTTTTTCAGTTCTTCATCAAATGTGCAATAGGTTATTGTGGGTTATTGCCACATTTACAGAGTAAACCTGTGCTTACTCCTCCAGTCTGTTTTGACACCCATTTTCTAATTTCCTTCTTCCCTTTCTTTCTCAGCTTTGAATACTTACTATTCTACTTTCAGATAGAGTTTTTAACTTATGCACATGAGACAGAATATGTGGTGTCCTTGCTGGGAAGGACAGGAATTCATTCTTTCTTATGACTGAATAATATTCCATTCTGTATAAATGCATTAATTTTCTTTATTCATTTATCCATTGATGGACACCTAGGTTGATTCCATCTCTTGGTTCTTGTGAACAGTACTGCAATAAACATGGAAATGCAGGTATCAATTCAATACATGGATTTCATTTCCTTTGCATGTATACCCAGAAATGGAATAATTGGCTCATATGATAGATTTATTTTTAGTTTTTTTGAGAAAACACCATAGTGTTTTTCATAATGGGTATACTAATTTACTAATTTATACTCTTACCAACAGTTAATGAGTTCTCTTTTCTGCACATCCTTGTCAGCATTTGTTATTTTTTTATTTTGATAATAGCTCTTCTGATTGGAATGAAAGGACATCCTTGTTAAGGTTTTCATTTACCTTTTCTTTCTCTCTTTTTTTTGGGGGGGTGTTGGTACTTGGATTTGAACTCAGGGCCTCAAACTTCTAGGTAGGTGCCTACCATTTACTTGAGCCATGCCTCCCAGCCCTTTTGTGTTTTCAGTTATTTTTCAGGTAGGGTCTTAGATTTTTACCCAGGGCTGGCCTTAGACCATAATTCTTTTACCTGTAGCCTCCAGAGTAGTTGGGATTAAGCCATGTGCCACTGCACCTGACCCTTGATTTGTATTTCTTTGATAGCTAATAATGTTGAGCATTTTCTCCAAGTACCTGTTTCATGTATTTGTACTTTTTTAAGGGGATAGCACGGGGGTTTAAACTTAGGGCTTCATGCTTGTAAAGCATGCACTCTACCACAACAACTCAAGTTCATTTTGCTCTAGTTATTTTGGAGAAGAGGGCTTATGAACTATTGCCCAATTTGGCCTTAAACTCCCCCTGAAAATAGCTATTGTGAGTGGGATTACTGTCATGATTTCTTTCTCAGGAAGTTTGTTATTGGTGTATAAAAATTATACTGGTTTTCATATGCTGATTCTGTGTGCTGCAACTTTACTGAATTTATTTTTTAGTTCCAAGAGTCTTTTGGTAATGTCTTTAGGCATTGTATCATGTTACCTGCTAACAGTGATAATTTGACTTTCTCCTGTCCTGTTTGTATGTGGTTTCTTTCTCTTTTTAATTGCTCTGGCTAAGATTTCCAATAGTATGCTGAATAAGAGTGAAAAGTGGAAGTATATATCCTTGTCTTGTTCCAGAACACTTTCACATTTTCCTCTTTCACTATGGTGTTCGCTGTGGATTTATAATATATACCATTTATTGTGTGAGCTATCTTCCTTCTACACCTAATTTGTTAGGAGTTTTTATCATGAAGGCATGTTGAATTTTGTTTTGTTTTTTTGAGACAGGGTCTAACTATGTTACCCATGCTGGCCTCAAACTTTTGATCCTCCTACCCAGCCTTCTTAGTAAGGTGGATTATAGGCATGCAGCACCATGTCTATCTGAGATGTTGAATTTTATCAATGCTTCTTCTGCATCTATTGAAAAGATCATATGATTTCCATACTTTATTTTGTTGATGTGATATATATCACATTTTTTGATTTGCATATGTTGAACCATCTTTTGCATCCTTGGGATAAACTCCACTGGATCATGTAAAATTGAGTTTTTGAGATACTGATATGTAGGCTAGGGTAGCCTCAAACTCATGTTTCAGTCGTAGCCTCCCAAGTGCTGGGATTACAGGTGTGTGCCACCATAACCAGCTGTAAATGATGGTTTTGATTTGTTCCTGGATTTGATTTGCTAGTATTTTGTTGAAAAATTTTGTGTCTATGCTCATAGGGGATATTAGCCATATTTTTCCTTCCTCCCTTTTTTGTTTCTATTTTTGACTAACAGAGAAAAGAAGTTTATTTTGGCTCAGTTTTTGTGGGTGCAGGATAGAGCGGCTACATCTGGTGATTGCCTTCTTGCTAGCAGCATCCTGAAGTAGTGTAGGGCATCACAAGACAAGAGACAGTGAGTGAGTGTGTGTGTGTGTGTGTGTCTAGTTTTCTGTTTTTGTTGTGTCCTGGTTTTGGTGTAAGAGCAATGCTGGCTTAGTAAAATGAGTTTGGAAGAGTTCCCTCCCATTCAGTTTTTGGGAATAGTTTGAGAATTGCTGTTTGTCTCACTTTAAAATTTGATAAAATTTAGCAGTAAAGTCATTGATCCTGAACTATTCTTTATTGAGAGAACTCATTGCTATTTCAATCTCATTACTTATTATTGGTCTGTTCAAGTTTTCTGTGTTTTCATGTTCAATTTTGGTAGTTTAAATGCATCCAAAATTTTTCTATTTCTTCTAGGATTTCAAATTTATTCTGTAGTAGCAGTTGTAATGACTTTGTTTTCACCTCTGATTTTATTTATTTAGGTCTTCTTTCTTTAAAAAGATAATTATAGCACCAGAAGTATGGGTAACACTTCTACTGCATATAAAAGTATATTGGTTGTCTCAAAAGCACTGTGACCAGCTTGCTAACCTGCTAGGTTTTTTAAAGGAACACTATTTTTTATTTAAAGACCCTTCTAATGATGATTATTCAGACTTGAATATTTGGCATACATTTTCTTATGAATTAAAAAAGAAGCCTATCAATTCAAGGAAAACAACTGACATTTGTTGCCAGTGCTTAAAATCCAAGCTCTCAAGCACAGAAATTTGGAAGTATTGCATTCACTATTTGAATTTCACAACTTTCTGACTCATTAAGACGTCTGATGAAATTCCTAGTGATATTAGCAAATGGGATGGGGGAGTTGCTATATGATAAAGTCACATTCCACAATGCAACTAAGCTTTCAAAACTACTACTTGTTGAATTTAAATCAAATTTTCTTATACACATAAACACACGATCATAGATTGAGTGCAGACTCAATCTAGGACTCCTGGAGAGCGGATAAGCACATAATGCAAGTCGTTTTATTATTAATTTTGAACAATATAGTTTTCATTAAGATATTTATGCAATGGGGTTTTAAAATGAAACATTTTCCAGTTCTAACGTCCAATACAGTGAATATCGATATTAAGTCATTGAAACAAAAGGTTCTTTGAGTACCCAGTTTTTAAGAGCTTTATACAGTGACGTAAGTCAAAAGTTTGAGAACTGCGGTTTGTATGCCTACATGTGAATTGGGAGAACCTGAATCTCGGTGGGACCCTTCCCAATGTCAGAGCGACACAGGGCAGAATGTACCCGGGTACTCATCCGCGCCCTGGGCACCGGCGAGGAGAGCGCCGACCACGAACCCCCGAGAACTGAGGGTGGAGTCGAGATCGCGTCCCGGGTCTCTCTGGAAATATCCTTCCGGGTCCGCAGGGCCTGGTTTTCGTACCGCTCACTTCTGATTGGAGCAACCTGTCAGTGGGCGGTCCGTCTGGAGAGGGGCGGGGCCTTATCTTTGTCGGGAGGCCGCGCACGTGAGCGTGCTGACGTCACGCCGGGCTCTGCTTTCTTAAAGCGGCTTCTGTGTTTGCCCTCTCCTCGGGGCGATTGCTCTGGCCAGTCCTTTTGAAAGGACTGGGGTGGCCAGCAGGGACAGGCTAGAGGCCTGGAGCCGACGTCCTCTCGTTCCTCTTCTGGTCGGGTATTTCCCGGTCCATCCGTGCAGTCACCATGGATCTGATTTTAAACCGAGCGGATTATTTACAGGTAAAGCTGAACAGTGGGGCGGTAGCCGCGTTGGGCTAGTTCCGCTCCCATGAGAGGATTCGTTTCCCTGATGCAAGTCAGTTGGGGTCGCCCGGAGCAGGGACGGAGGCCGAGGCGGAGGCGGGCAGCCCCAGCTGGTCCGTGATGGTCTGCGGGATTTGGAGAGAAGCCCGCGTCCCTCGCTCCCGAGGTGCTCCAAGGGTCCCGACGCGGACCCCGGCCCTCCCCGCCTCCTCCCCGGCGCCCGCCCGACGCTTGGTTCTCACTCTCAACTGGACTGCACTAGCCATATCCCAATGGAAGCGATGGCAACCGTTTATTGAGCAGTTAATCCCATAATATGTACCATACATAAATGCCTACTCTAAATAAAATTATTCAAAATAGGTTATATTAGAAATGAGGATTCGGAAGCTCAGAAAAGGTAAATAATTTGCCGAATAGATAAAAACTACAGAGTTGCTATTTGAATCAAAGTCTGGGACTTCAGAGCAGTGACCTTTCTGTTACATCACACAGCCTTTCAGGGTTTCTTTCGGCCCTGGGATTATATCTTCCAGTTCCCCATCTCCGTTTTCAGCTGTACAGTTTTAGCTGATGGTACAGATGTTTGCCTACCCATAGGTTTTCCTAGGAGTTATACTATGATGTAGTTCCCACCTTAATATCTTCCGTACCCAACCACTTGCCACATCTTGCTGCTTTTATCTCCCAACTATCTCTTGAATCTCCCATTTTTCTCCATCTCCTTCATTTTGGGTTCTCATCTTGCTTGGAATATTGAAGTAGTCTAACTGGGCAAGCAGCCTCCATCTTCACCTTCCTCCAAGCCATCCTTCATATCACTTGCTAGATTGATGTGTTAAAAATGCAAATCTAAAAAAAATCATATCTAAACAGCTTACTTTGAACTTCAATACTAACTGAAATCCAGAATAAAATCATATATCTGTATTGTATGCAAGTTCTTTCATGATCTGTTTTCTTCAACTTCTCTCCCATTAGTCCCATCCTCCTTAACTGCTTACCTCCAGTGACATTTCCCTGATGGACAAGACATGTTGTTTTCATCCTGTGCACCTTTTGTAAAATCATAATCAGTAACAGCGTCATCACTTAGATTGGATGTTGTCACCATCACCATGTTTGATGTTTCAGCAAAATTTTTCTATGCTAGATTTTCAATAACCTATTTTCAAAGTTTTTAATTTTTTTTTGGTAGTGGGGCTTGAACTCAGTAGCACACACCTTGAGCCACTCCACCAGCCCATTTTTTTTTATGTTAGGTATTTTTGAGATAGGGTCTGTTGAACCGTTTGCCCTGGCTGGATTGGAACCTCCTGATCGCTGCCTCCTGAGTAGCTAGGATTACAGGTGTGAGCCGCCAGAGCCTTGCTTCCAAAGATTTTAATCAGTTTACAAAAAAATCTTCAGTAACTACATGAAATTGGAAAAGACTTATAAAAAATATTTTCTGAAGCACCTTACCAGTAATGCCATATATACATATAATTGCTTTTAGCCTGATAAATTTATAGAATAAATTTTACTGTTTTTGTTTGCTTTCTATGTTCTGACTTTTGTGAGAGTTCATTAGAAAATGAGTTTATCACTAATAGGAAGAACTATATTGCTTATGTCATTAAAAATAAAGCTCACTCTCCTGGTCCTTTTTAATTTCTGATATAACTTCAACTTACAGCATATCAGAGAGCATTCTAGGTGACTGGTGTGTTTCCTTAGGTGGGCGTGACCTCTCAGAAGACTATGAAGCTGCTTCCTTCCTCAAGACATAGAGGTACACAAAAGGTACTGTATAAGTATGATTTCTCTGCTTCTCCCTTGCTCTGACAGTGGAGAGGCTCACATTTCCTTCTTTATTGGTAAGTTAAATCTTTTTTTTTTTTTTGGTGGTACTGGGGTTTGAACTCAGGGATTTGCACTTGTGAGGCAGGTGCTCTATCACTTGAGTGACACCTTCATCCAGTTTTGTTCTGGTTATTTTGGAGATAAGTTATCACTGTTTGTCCTAGCTGGCCTGGACTGTGATTCTCCTGTATTAAGCTTCTCGCCATCTCTGTAATGACAGACACATGCTACCATGCCCAGTTTTTTTCCATTGAGATGAGGTCTCACAAACATATTTGCCGGAACTGGCCTTGGAAACACAATCCTTCAAATCTCAGCTTTCCATGGTAGTTTGGGATGACAGATGTGCATACCTTGTTATTGGTTGAGGGGGAGAGGTTATTACTATTAATTTTTTTGTCTTTTCTTTTTTGGTGCTGGGATTGAACCCAGGGCCTCACGCATGCTAGGCAAGTGCTGTACCACCGAGCTACATCCCAGTCCTTTGTTATTGGTTGAGATGGGGTCTTGTGAGCTATATTCCCTGGGCTGTCCTGGAACCTCCATCCTCCTGATCTCAGTCTCAGTCTCTCACATAGCTAGGATTATAAGCGTGAGCTAAGTTAGTCTTTTAATAATACTAATGTCAAAAAAATAAATTTCTTTTAATTGATCATAAGTTTGAATACCAACAGACGTTTACACATAGTAATTTTCTTAGACATTAAAATTATTATGTACAATTAGTAAATTGTGTAAGTAAACTTGTTAAAAACCATACTCTTTGGGCTGGGGATGTAGCTTAGTGGTAGAACACTTGCCTAGCATATATAAGGCCCTTGGTTCAATCCCTAGCACAACAAAAACATGAAAAAACTGTATCCTATTTTTCTGGTAATAATTTGCTCTCTGTGTACCAAATTGTGTATATGGAAGAAGAAATATAAAACACAGCAGAATATAGAGAACACCGTTTCCGTAAACTTTCTCATATTTTTTAACTATTTGATGTTGAACTTTGTGTTTAACTAATAATACTGATTTTTTTTAAAAAGAAATATTGGGTATGCCTCCATAAAACAATTATAATTTTGTGGTATACTACTGGATATTTTATTATTATTATTATTATTACTATTATTTTGGTGGTTCTGGGTTTGAACTCAGGTTGTCACATTTGCTAGGCAGGCACTCTACCACTTGAGCCAGCCCTTTTTCATTTTATATTATTTTAATCTTTTTCTGGGATTCAGGGCTTCACTCTTGCAATGCAGTACTTGCAGATCAGGAGCTCTGCTACTTGAGCCACACTTCCAGTCCATTTTGCTCTGGTTATTTTGGAAATGGGGTCTTGAGAACTATTTGCCCAGGTTGGCCTCAAACTGTGATCTTCCTGATCTCAGTCTCCTAAATAGCTAGGATTATAAGCATGAGCCACTGGCATCTGGCAGTAGTAGGTATTTTAATTGCTGCAAAATACATTATCCTGATATATTAACATTTTTTGAGATGAATCAATATATTTCTGATTGTCATTGTTTTCAGTATACTAAATTAGTACTTTTCAAACTTTTTGGTCTTAGAACCCCTTTACACATTTAAATTATTGAGGCCTACAAAGAATCTTTGTTTATTTAGGTTACATCTATCAATACTTAATTGAGAGATGTAAGAAATGTTTAAATATTTTGTCTTAAAAATAATAAACCCTTTATGTTTTTACATAAATAAGACATTTTTATTAAAAGTATTATATTTTTGCAAATTCTTTAATGTCTTGCATAAGCAATGTCAGATGGGCTCTCATATCTGCTTTCTGCATTCACTCTGTTGTAATATGTTGCTTTTGGTTGAAATATATGAAGAATATCTAGGTACATAGGTGAAAAATAGGGAAAGGTATTTAAATAACTTTCTCTGGTAATTATGACTCTTCTGTTCCTATTTGACGCTACCTTTAAACTTGATGTAGTTTCTTAAACATTAGTGGAGTCTAAAACCATATTGATGAAGTTTTTGTAGTAGCAGTAGTAGTAATTTTAGATTCTTGTCAATCTATTACAGGTGGTTATTGGAGATCAAGACGGGGTAGTTATGTGCTTTGGTATGAAGAAAGGAGAAGCAGGGGTAAGTGTAACTTCTGTAGGAGGATAAAAAAGGTTTTCAGCAGGCAGATGCACTACTTACTGAATACTCCTAAGTTAAAAATTTCCTAATATAGAGACAATGGGAAGTGGTTTGTGAGGGAAGTATAGTCAGCTTGCTATATCTGTGGATTTCACATTTGAGGATCAAAACTATTAGAAAAAAAATAGCATCTACACTGAACATGTATAGAGTTTTTTCTTTTCATTATTCCTGAAACAATATAGTAGAGCAACTATTTACATTGTATTAAGTATTATAAGTAATTAGAGATGATTTAAATTACATGGGAGGATGTGCATAGGTTAAGTGAAAATATCATGCCATTTTATATAAAGGACATGAGCACCTATGGGTTTTGATATTTGGTGGGTCCTGAAACCAATCCCTATGGATACCAAGAAACAGCTGTGGTTGTATGAAGCATGAGGCTGTGGGCTAGCATAAGTCATTTTCGAGTTTGTTGAAAACACCTTTAGCAGCCCATGGTAGTTAGTTTTCTATGCTGTTTAACAAATGATAAAACAAACACACATCTATTATGTCACAATTTCTGTGGGTCAGGAGTCAGGGCTGCAATGTAGGTATCAGCCAGGCAGTTTCTTTCTTTCTACAGCTTAAGGGCCTGTGCTGGGCTCATGTGGTTCCTTTCTGTTGTAGTATTGAGAACTCTGCTTTATTTCTGTCTGTAAGCAAGGGACTGTTATCAGAAATTCCCACAGGGCCCTGACATGTGGCCTTCTTTTAGTCCGTCTTACAACATGGGAAACTAATTCTTTAAAGCCAGCAGGAAAATTTCTAGTGTATTAAGATGGAATCTTATTTATTTAGTAATATAATAAATCACAGAATTATTATACCTAACAACCTTTGCCACTTAATGTAACCTAATAAATGACATAATTGATTATTATAGCATTATCATGTTCACAGGTTATAGTCTGTAGTCTGAAGTATAAGCTCTGAAATTCATTGTACATTACATAGAATTTACAAAAAAGATGAAGAGAATTAAAACTACTGGAAATATAATGTGTCCATTATTCATGTATTCTCCTAGAAATTTTGTTCTGTATAAAGTCATGAGAGGGGAGAAGAAACTGGTGGAAATACTAAAGTGGAAAATAATCAGGAAAAAATTAGTGTTAAGAATAATAGTTTTTATTAAAGATGTGACTAAGGTATTAAGATATACATTCACATTTCCAATAAATTCTGTAGCCCTTTACTACTAAAATTTATAAACATTGTAAAAATTCAGGAGAGATTGTTTCAAAAACAATTGAAGCATACAAACATGTCCATTGAACTTAATTAAAGAATTTGCCAAGTGGACTTTGCTATAGGTAGGAGTATTAATTAAACCAGTGCTTCTCAAGCTAGGCATAATAGCACCACCTGTAATCTCAGCTAGTCTGAAGGAGGAGGCAGGAGAATCTTGAGTGCAAGGCAGCTTGGGAAAAGATAAGACCCGATCTCAAAAACAAAGGACAAAAGGTATAGGGGTACAGCTCAACTGGCAGAGCACTTGCCTAGCTGTGCAAGACCCTAGGTTCCCCAGTTCCACAAAATAAATAGACAAACCAGTCCTTCTCATACTTTAAGGGGTATGGGAACTACCTGGGGAATAGTGTTAAAAAAATGCACATTCTCATTTAGAAGATTTGGTGTTGGGCTTCAGATGCTGCATTTTTCTTTTCTTTTTTTTTGTCGTTACTAGACTTTGAACTCAGGGCTTGTGCTTGCTAGGCAAGCACTGTACTACTTGAGACAAACCTTTAGCCCTTTGTGCCTTTTTAGGTTATTTTTCAGATAGGGTCTCGTTTTTTTGCCCAGGCCAACATGGGACCACAATTCTTCTACCTGTGCCTCCTGTGTACCTGGGATTACAGCTGTATACCATCATGTCTGGCTTATTTGTTGAGATGGGGTCCTAGATAGCTTTCTGCCCAGATAGGCCTCAAACAGTGATCCTCTCAGTCTCTGCCTCCTGAGTAGCTAGGATTATAGGCATGAGCCACTGTGCCTAGCAAGATTCTGCATTTTAATAAGTTAATGGTGCTAATGTTGCTACTCAGTGAACCCCTACTTTGCATTGCAAGAATTTAGACTTTAATGATATCATTAAAATATGTGGAAATAAAATTTTGAAATTAAAGGTTATCTAGCAAAAAGCCAGAATGTAAAGGTTTTTCTATATAGTAGAACTATAATATTTTGTAAGTTTAAAATCATAGCATTTTTTTTATGGTAATGGAAAAATGTTAACGATAAAATAACTTGTATACTTACTTTTTTTCCCGATTGACTTTTGTAGGCAGTGTTCAAGACTTTACCAGGGCAGAAGATTTCGAGGCTGGAACTAGGAGGGGTTCTTAACACACCTCAGGAGAAAATTTTTATTGCTGCAGGATCTGAGATTAGAGGCTTTACAAAGCGAGGAAAACAGTTCCTCTCTTTTGAAACAAACCTCACTGAGAGCATTAAAGCTATGTATGTTTATTGTTCTCTTTTATTTTTACTTATCTATGTTTTGCATAGCTGTAGAACATCTGATTAAATATATCTTAATAGGTTTTCTGAAAAATAAAATTGGCTGAAGATATTTTATTGTCAGAAACTAAATTTGACCTAGGATCAACACAAAATTGATTGCCTGTTGAAATGTCTTCTTTTTAAGAACTTCACATTATATATATGTGTGTCTGTATGTGTATATGTGTAGAGGAAGTATACATAATATATATATGTGTGTCTGTATGTGTATATGTGTAGAGGAAGTATACATATGTATATACAGAGATATATATGTACAAATACACATATTCATATTTTATTTTTTGGCTTTTTTTAAAAATTGAAACAATGATCTATTGCTTGAGTATACCAGTCAAATTTATGTCACTACGGCAGAGGTTGTGAATGACTCATATTTCCAGTTGGGGTAGGACCAATTTGGTTTTAAAATACCAAGCCAATCAGCAAATTTGGCTGTCTGTCAGTGTCAAAGCTTAGCATCTTTATTCTTTTTGTTCCTCTCAAGATGCTTTTGGACAGCAACTGCCTTCTTATTTAGGAAGTCCTGACCTTCTAAGGAAGATCAGGACCAAGTTCCTTGAACTTAAAGATTTTCAAGACTTTGTTGCCCTGCACAAAATGTACTTGTGCAGTGCAATGTGAACCCCTCAAGATCGTATTGATTTGTGAGGGAGCCAGGCCCTTCTTGGCCATGTCCTCTGTCGTCAGAAGTCAGCCTCAGCCAGGTGGGGATAGGGCTGAACCAACTGGGACAGGCCATTACCAGAAGCATGCATGTGACCCATGATGGTGGCAGACTGACCTGGCATTTCTTTTTAAAAATATATTTTGTATTTTAAATAAATGTTTAGCAATTGTGCATATTTATGGTAGAGTGGCATTTCTATACATGTATATGGTGGGTAATGATCAGGTAATTCGCATGCCCATTGTCACCAACATTCATTATTTCTTCATGTTGGGAGCACACAAAATCCTCTATGAATGGTTTTGAAGTATAACTACAGTATACATTTGGTTGTGACTAAAAGATTCATGATCAAGGTATAGAAAAACTTCAAATATTAAGGTTCTTCACTCTTTTTTTTGTCACTACTGGGGTTTGAACTCAGGGCCTCATGCTTACTAGGCAGACTGCTTGAGCCACTCCACCAGCCTGATATTTAGGCTCCTGTTCCTTGGTTGGCATTTTTTGGTAGTTCTTATTTTGAGTTAGCAATTGTATGTTAAAAGACTAGCCATCAAAGTTGGTGACTACCAACATATTACATTTTCAGGTGAATTATGTAAGGCTCTTAAGGGAACAGTAGTTTTCCCTTTTGTTTTGATCATACTGGGTAAACAGGCCTTGCACTTGTTAGCCTCTAGCCCTTTTTGTTTTAGTTATTTTTTAGATATTTTCAGATAGGGTCTTCTGCTCTTTGCCTAGACTGGCCTTAGACCATGATCATCCTACCTACATCTCCCAAGTAGCTGGGATTACAGGTGTGTTAGCACCATGTCCTGCTTGTCTTAAGATCAGGTCTTACTAACTTTTTGCCTGGGCTGGCTTGAAACCATGGTCTTCCTATCTCTCTGCCTCCCACTGAGCCTTACCTAAAAAGCTTCCTTAATGACTTCCTGATACCTGAAATTTTTCAATTAGAATTTTAGCTTATGAATCTTTGGGGCTAGAAGGGCTTTAAAGTTCATCTAATCCAGTTTCTTAAACCTGCTACTTGGGAAGACTCATTGGGAAGCCTAAACAATTGATATCTTGGCTCACACCTGCTGAGTCAGAATAACCAGGAGTGGTTTTAAGTTCTTCCTTGAATCTAATGCAGCCAAGTTATACAAGCAGCCCAATCCCTGAGTTTGGAAACTACAGATTCAGTCCTGAGTTCTGCGTAATGCACGACGGTCCTGTATAATCCTGTATAATGCATAGTGTTTCTCCTGATGTTTAGGCTTTTAAACTTTAGCTTGGTGAGATTAGATAAGCATTAAACAATACCAAGTAGAAGTAATTGCAGGTGTTTTAACAAGAACTTAACATGTTTGCATTGCTTTTGTAGATAAGGCCAATGATAATTTTGAAATACTATTGACTTATAAGGAATACCTCTGTCCAGAGAGGTATGTGGATAGTGGTGTGAGGAAGATAAGGCATTTCTCAGCAACAATCTTTTGACCACTGTCTTAAATGTTTTTACTGGGGTATCAGAGATGAGATGGATAGGTTCATTGCTCAAGTTTTGCAAATTATCTGAATTCCCGTGTTTGTAGGAAAACAAAGATTATACCTTGATGATATTCAATAAGGAAACTACTTAGAAAATTATTTGGCCCTCACACATCTTTCTCTGCTTAATGCTTCAATCTGTCCCCACTCTTGTCAACAATAGTAATTGCTAAATAGTACCATTGCCAGTATAATGCAACTATAATGCAGTTTGATTTTAAACTTGGATTTCAAATCTTGAAAATGACACAGGTTTTCATGAGGTTGATAAAAATGATATTTTCTACATATGCAGAGACACAAAGTAAAGCCACTTAATTGGAGAAGTGAGGGTAATGTTGGATAAGCTCTTCGGAGAATAATTTTACTATCAAAAAATTTGAAATGCATCTCAGAGGTAACAAAACAGATGAAACCTTCAAATAAAAGTACCTTTTTCATGACCACATGATGTTAGCAGTCTACAAATATATGCAGATTTTAGTCTCCCTTCTCTGAAATGCTTGGGACCAGAAGTATTTCAGGTTTTGGATTTTTCATATTTTGCAGTATTTGTGAAGACTTTACCAGATGAACATCCCAAGTCCAAAAATCTGAACTCTGAAATGCTCCCAAATCTGAAAGTTTTTGAACATTGTGTTAGCACGTAAACAGTTTTGGACTTTGAGCTGAGAGTTGTGGCTGTGCCTGTGTCCTCGCTATTCGGGAGGCAGAGATCAGGAGGATTGCAGTTCTAGGTAATCCAAGCAGAAAACTTTACAAGACCCTATCTCAACCAATGGCTGGGCATGGTGGTACATACCTGTCGCCCCAGCTATATGGGCACAAATAGAGGATTGCTATCCAGGCTGGTTAGAGCATAAAGCAAGATCTTCTTTTGCATCCTATAAACAAGGTGTATTTCTCTACTTACAGGGTAAAAAGCAAAACAAAAAAAATCTAATGCAGAAAGGACTGGTAGAGTGACTGACTTACGTGGTAGAGCACCTGCCTAGCAAGTGTGAGACCCTGAGTTCAAACCTCAGAATTGCCAAAAAAACCCCAAGTTTTGGACCTTGGAATATTTTGATTTCAGATTTTTAGGCTAGGGTTGCCCAACTTGTATTACACTAGTATATGTGGTGTAGACACATACTAGCATATAAATATGAATATGAATACTAATACCACATATAACTTTTGTGAAAAAAAGTGTTAACCTTTTCAAGAAAAAACTGGTTTCAACCTAAGAATTACAACATCATTGTGTTTATTACCTAAAATTTGTTTAAAGTTACTTGAAATTAACTTATTTTCATTTCGTTTTTCAAGATAAGATCTAATGAAAGTACTTTTTGCACTGTATATCATTTAAAGTAGACTCACTTCAAATAGATTTTTCCAGGCATTTTAATGTAATATTAATAAAGCTAACTTCAGAGCTAAAAACTACCTGAGTTGTAGTCTTCTCCACTATTTACTAATTATGTGCCATGAGGCACATTAATATTTTCTTACTCACCTGTGAAAGCAATAATACTCTTCCTGAGATTATAGGATTATGTGGATTAATTGAGCTAATACATGTAGTTAGGACAGTGCTTGCCCCATAGTATACATTAAAAAAAAGTTTAGTTTTTGGTATTGTCTTCAGTTATAGACAACTAAATTAACATCTTTGATTTTAGTTTTTCTGAGCTTGGTTTTTATTGAGAAGCCTGAGGCTTACAATCCTCATTTTCCGCTTTCAAAATGAAAGTGTTATATCAAATATAAAGGCTAGAAATTAAGTGGAAGAAATGAAAAAAATGACGTTCTCTGTGAAAAAATGGTAGTAAACTGTATATTATAAACTGTTTTGTATTTATCTCTGAAGAATTTTGTTTACTGGTGCTTGTTTTTAAAAATACGGATGTTTTAAATTGCTGCTTTAATGTTCTCAGGTATATATCTGGCTCTGACCTCTTTCTCAGTGCAAGTTATATCTATAATCATTATTGTGACTGCAAAGACCAGCATTATTACCTTTCTGGAGACAAAATCAATGATGTCATCTGCCTTCCAGTGGAAAGAATACCTCGAATTACACCAATACTGGCCTGCCAGGACAGAGTGCTCAGAGTTTTACAGGTTGCTAGTATTTGCATTTTTATAACTTTCCATAATTTAGGCAAATGAGTAATTATGAATGTTGCTTACCTAAGATAAATTACTTTAGAGATTGCCACCTTAAGTGTCTTACATAAAGTTGTATCTAGAAAGAAATTTTAAATTAATAATTTTTTTTACTTGAAGTAAATGTGTTGATCTTTTACAGGTTTTTAGAAAGCATAAATGCAACCAAAAGGATACTTTTCTTTCTCTACACCCTCAATTTTTGAACTAGTACAAAGTGGAGTACTTTGGTGCAGAGAACCTTTATCAGAATTTTTTTCCCCTTTCTTCCATCATTTTCCTCTCCCCCAAATCAAATTAAAGGAAGAAATTGGGTTCAGGAGAGGGTGATATATAACTTAAGTTTATCCAGTGTTTATGACAGTATGTAGAAACATAAACACTCAGTAAATATTTGTGGGGTAACCATATGAGTGATAACCTTGTATCTCTAGTTTAAAAACCACAATTGGCAGCCAGGTGCCAGTGTCTCTCATCTGTAATTTAACCTGCCTAGGTAAAAAGCTTGAAAGACCCCATCTCAACCAATAGCTGGGCGTAGTGATAAGCATTACAGCAACAAAACCCAAACCCCAAAAAACAAAAACCAAAAAACCCTACATGTTTGGCTAAAACATTGTTACTAGTGATAATAGCTACCATTATCTCTTCTTTAGAGTGGCTTACAACACACACACACCTTTAAGTTTAAATAGTATGTAAGTAATGGGTTAATTGGATCAGAAATGTAGGCTGATGATAGTTGATGCTGTTGATCAAAATTCCATGTATCACAGGCTATCTCACTCTAGAATTCCATAGCCAGATGACTATTTCTTGGTGTCAGTTCTGTTTTAAAAGGAAAATCCAGTGATTCATTCTGAGGCCCTCCCCATGCTGCCACATGCAAAGTAATGTTCACGGTCAATCTCTAGAGGTGAGCAATTGATTTCTCCCTTAGCCTGTGTTTTCAGAGTTGGCTAGTATTCAATTAGAAATTCATCTGGCTGGATTCTAGGATTCTGCTTTGTTTAACAAGAAGAGATAAATATTGTTTAAAAAATTCACTAAGGACTTGTGGAATGTAAGGAATTGAACACTTCCCTCCGCCTTGCCCACTTCTTCACTGTGCATCTGCCTTTGGGGACAACCATTATCCCAGAGTTGTCTCTTTTTACACTTTTGTGTATATTCTTTTGTGTTCATATAGATATGTGTAGATGTCTGTAAATTTTAAAATGATAAAAAGAGAAAGCGTATGTCTTTCTTGTATATTCTAAATATACATTAAAATCTTTTAACATAGTACACCATCATATAATTTTATAAGTTGTGGTTTCATTGAATTATATGTGGCAAAATAAAAGGACTTATTTTTTTTATTAAATATCAGGTGATTCTGCCTCTAATTGGAATGAGTTTGGGAATACACAAAGATAAGGCCAGAATTTTCTTAAGAAGAAACATTGGGACTGCTCAAATGTTTGAATGTACTATAAGCTAAACCCTCCAATTAGCACTAAAGAGGACAAAAGAAATAACTTTTTCTAGAGAGTTTTGAAAGGAAAATTTACCAATGTCAAGTTTTTCAGCAAACAGTTTGTTAAAAATGAAAAGTATTAAAAGTGGGGAATTTTTTACATATTTTTCTCCTTACTGTTTACATTTTATATACATTTTATTTCCAAATGTGTTAATATATGTGAAATTACTAACAAACGTAAGTTGGTATTCATGACCTACTTTTTTTATAGTTTTATTCTAAATGTTATTATGAGTACTATATTTAAATATTGATGTTATCCATGAATGCCTTTATTTAAATTTGTATTCAGTTTTATTTTTAAATTCTTGTTCTTCCTTAGGGATCTGATGTAATATATGAAACTGAAGTTCCTGGTCCACCTACTGTGTTAGCACTATACAATGGAAATGGCGGTAATCAGGATTTCAGTTTTTCACAGTCAACTATTTGTTAGTAAAACTGCTAGGTAAAAGTGGGAAATTGTAGAAAGAACATGCTCTGGAATTGAGACATTTGTCTTTTGATCCCTTTTTAGTAACTCACAATAATGACTTGCTGAATTTTTAATTTTCAGTTTCTTCATTTTAAAATTAGATGATAGGGAATACTCTTACCTCTTACGCTTATAAACTTCTGTGAATATAGAATACATAATCATTCTCCCCAAATTAAGTTTTCTTTTTATAATATTAAAAATGAAATTTTGTAATATTAAAAAAGAAATGATTTTTACATAAAAATATTTTAATTTTAGGGAGATAGTATTAAATGTTCACTTTAATTATAACTAGGTGACTCTGGAGAAGATCTTTTGTTTGGAACATCAGATGGAAAACTTGGGCTTATTCAGATCACTCCATCCAAACCTATACACAAGTGGGAAATTCGAAATGGCAAAAAGAGGGGAGGTATGCTTTTAATGTAGTTTACATTCTGAAATTTCTAATCTATTAAGTAAAATAGATTATATAATTCATTCAGTTGTATTTGTTCACATTATATGGCAGACTTAGCAATTCATAGAGCTACATCTGATATATCTACTATTTGTATATTTATCAGGTCTATTATATTATAGACATAATTTGTTTCATGGAATGTTTTATGAATTTGCATGTCATCCTTACACAAGGGCCACGCTAATCTTCTCTGTATTGTTCCAATTTTAGTATATGTGCTGCCAAAGTGAGCACAGACATAATTTTTTTAAAAGTAAGAAATGTTAATAGTAATTTGGGATAGATTTTTTTGTAAGTTAATGTCCATCATGCTATACTATAATCCCTTTTTAATTGTAGGGAATTAATTGGAATCTGAGAGTTCTGGACAGGATGCAGAGAAGTAGTACAGGGGGTCAGAGAATATTCCTATTTTCTAAGGAATTTATACCATGTTAAGGGGAATGTCCACCTGAGGAAGGTACACCTTGGAAGGTAGTTGGCCATTTATATGAATAGGATGTGTTTATATGTATGGAGCTATAGAGAGGCAAGAGCTGAGGGAAAGGAGATGGAAACTTGGGGCCATTGCCATATTTTATAGATTATATTTCAAGCCCTGGAAATAGCTGAATGTGAATGGAAAAGAGAGAGGCACCTGATTAAGCTTAAGTTGCTTTTTTCTCCAACCATTCTGAGTTACTCTATACACTTTTCGTTCTTATTTAGCATATACTTGACTATTAGTTTTCATAATAACTGATCACATCTTTTCTTAAAGGTATTTTGTGTATCGACAGCTTTGATATTGTGGGTGATGGGGTTAAAGATTTACTTGTTGGGAGAGATGATGGAATGGTGGAAGTATATGGTTTTGGTAATTCAAATGAGCCTATTCTACGATTTGATCAGGTAAGTTAATTAAAAAAAAAACTGTGGGGGCTGAGAATGTAGCTCAATGGTAGAGCATTTGCCTATCATGTATACAGCCTAGCACTGGAAAATGAAAAGAAGTAAGAAGACTGAATGTGTGTTATTTGTCAAATTATTATAGAGATGACTGAAGTTTTGAATTTTATTAAGTGAAAATATACGAAAATCTTGTGTTCATTTAAAATATTACTATTCTTGATGTTATCACAATCTTCTCTAGACTACACTCTTGTGTTTGAATAATAGAAAATTACTTCTAAGCTGAATAGTATATTACTTTTTCACTATACTTTTAAAGATTATAAATTTTTTAGGTATAAACTAGTTTGCCTTTTGCCTTAGTTTCTTTTTTATTTGTGGCATTGGGAATTGAACTCAGGACCTCACACTTGCTAGGCAGGCACTGGTACTGGTTGAGCCACTCCATCAGCTCTGCCTTAGTTTCTGTAGTGAATAATAATACATTGTAGGAGTAAAACTTACATGTCTGTGTGTTGTAAATGACATTTTTTTTTTAAAAAGAGTTTTAGCATAAACTTAATATTGTTAGGACAGTATCAGAAATATCCTTAAGCAGAGAGGAATAGTGGTTTCATTTAATGGGACATCTTGTGATGTTTTCATGCATATATACATTGTGTAGTATTTAAATCATATTAAGCATTTCTATCTCTTGAAGCATTTATTATTTTATGGTGAAAACATTCAAAATCCTTTCTTTGAGATTTTTGAAATATAAAGTACAGAATTACTATTTATCTGTAGTCACCCTGCTGTACAATAGTAAGAACTTTTTTGTGCCATGACTAAAGAATTTCTTACTCCTATCTGACTGTAATCAGATAGGAGTGATCTTTAGTAATCATTGATCAATATTTCCCTGTAGCAGCCTACCCCCTACTCTCCCGAGCCACTAATAGGTACTACTCTACTCTTTTAACTTTTGTGAGATCAACATTTGTATATTCTATATATAAGTGAGATCATTCAGTATCTGGCTTACTTGGCTTTCTATGCCTGGCTTATTTCACTTAGCATAATGTTTTCCAATTGCATCTGTGTTGTCACAAATGACACAGTTTCATTCTTTTTGTGGTTGAATAGAACTGCATTGTGTAGGTAGAATTTTCTGTTTTTATAAATTGGAATGTTAGTCCATTTTTTTGTTACTATAATGAAGTACCTGAGAAGGCTACTTTGTATAGCAGTTTAATTTGGCTCACAGTTCTGGAGGTGCAAGATCTAGAGGCTTCATCCGTGATGGTTTTCTTATTGGTAAAGTACCAAGGCAGCTCACAGTGCCACAAGGCAAGAGACAGGGTATGCATGGTATATGTGGTCTCTCTTCCTCTTAGAAAGCCACTAGAATCCAGTCAGGGGCTCCACCCTAATGACCTTAATTGATCACTTCCCAAAGGGTCCCACCTCTAAACACTGTAGTTAGATTAATTTTCCACCCTCTTAATACCATTAATATGACTTAGGGATTAAACTCTTCCATGAAAATGTGTATGTGGGAGGGGTACATTGGAAGCACATTCAAATATGGAACTGGTGTTCCATTCCAGGGTGTTCCTATCTTGCCTCATATAGGATATAGTGAGTCTGTTTTGAAAAAAAAAA